ATTGTCTGAATTTCTATGGCATTATAATATATCTAAAACTTTTAGTAAGTTCCATTACCTACCACTCCTATGTTATTCTTGTTCTTTAAAAATGTATTTATTTTGGGTTTCCCTAGAAGCAGACCCTGCGATAAGGATTTAGGAACAAACATATTCTCCTTTCTTTCCTTCCTTCCTTCCTTTCTTCCTTTTCTTTCTCCCTCTCTCTCTCGCTCTCTCTTTCTACTTTTTGTGTGAGTGGTGCTGGGGATCAAACTTAGGGCTTCTTGCATGCTAAGCACATGTTCTACCACTGAACTGCACTCCCAGCCCTATTCTATCCTTGATCCCTTGATCTCTACATGGATTTTAGAATCAGCTTGTTACATTCCATGAAAGAATGGGGATTTCTGTGGGAATTGAACTGAATTCGTAGCCTATTTTTGTGAGAGATGATTATTTTGTCCTCCTATTTATAATATGTACAGCATATATTTCCACTTAGTTCATCCTTTAAGTCCCTGAGTAATTTTTATATTTGTCTTAGTTCATCTGTGCTGCTCTAACAAAATACCTGAGACTGAGAAATTTATAAACAGAAATGTATTTCCTCAAAGTTCTCAAAGCTAGGAGTTTCCAGACTGAACTAGCAGCAGGACTGTGTCTGGGAGGGACCAGGCATCTCCCTGCTGCCTTTCCTGGAGGGGACAAAGTCTGTGTCTTCACAGGATGGAAAGGGTGGAGGGAACAGACTCATTCCCACCTTGTGCATGTTTAGGGGTTGCAAGTGTCAGTGGCTTTGTCCCTTAGTATCATCACTGTGGCCTCTAAGTTCCAGTGCATGAAATTGGGGGACACAGTCACACCATAGCAATCTCATTCCGGAAAGGTCTGGTGTATATTTTGCTAAATATATTCACAGATCTTTGTCATGTTTGCGAACAGAATCTTTTCTGGTCCATTGAATTTTCTAGTTTGCTATTACTGATGAATAGGAATGCTAATCCTTGTTTTAAAAGTTGATCTTGAATTCAATAACCTTGCTACCTCTCTTAGCAGTCCTGATACTTTGTTGGATTATTTACTCCTTAGATTTTTACAGTCATGTTGCAAATACGGGCACTTTTCCTTTGCAACTCTTAACTTTTATTTATTTTTTTTCTAGTATATGCTGAGCGATATACATTTCTGTTGTTAGGTAGCTTGTGACCTTAAAAAAATAACAACTTCCTTTGGTTTAACTTACACGTTGTCTTGGTCCTCCAGTGCAACGTTGAATAAAAACAGTGATAGATAACCTTGCCTAAGGATATCCTTGCCAAGTCTATCAGGTTAAGGAAGCTAGACTAACAATGGTTTTCACTGAGTTGATATTTAAGTGTTAAGGAGGTATACTGCATGGATGAATTATCTGATGTTGACTCACCTGTACATTCTTGGGATAAAACCTACTTTGCAATTATGCATTGCTATGTGTGTGCACTGCTGTATTCAACTTAGCATTATTCCATTTAGAATTTCAGAATCTATGTTCATAATAATAGCTAACATTTCTGAGGTTTTATATGTCCAAGGCCCCATTAAAGTGCTTTCCATTAAGTATTTCATTTCATCCCAGGAGACTTATTGTGAAGGTTATTTTTCCCTTTTAAAAAATGAACAAATTAAGGCACAGAAAAGTCAAGTCACTCCCTCAAGGCCACAGAGAAGGTAGATATGGACACCAAAATCCAATCCAGATTCCCAGCTGCAGAAGCCACACAGTAATCTCTCTTTACACCACCTCCCAGTGTAAAGGACCTGGAAAGCCGATTGGTCTATAGTGCACTTCTCTTGAAAATCTGTGTGCCAGCTAAATAAATACCAGGGTTATACGTTCCTCAGTAAGTAACCAGTACCTCTCTTTTCTTTTACTTAAAAAAAATTGTCAGCCTTCTATAGAAACATTTCATCTGCAAGGAATTCACTGATTATTTTATTGGCTCTCTTTCTTAGACTTCAATTGTTTCATATGTTTTCAAATCTCAGTTTGTAGATTCACTTTGCTTTTTTATTTCAAAGTTACAGAAAAATAGCTAGCATCATAAAAGAGCTTATTCCCCCTGTGTCATTTGGAAGTACATTCACAACACAGTGTGTTCCCATCAACTCTGACTATGTTAGTGTACGTCACCTACAGACAAAGGTATTCCCCTAGAGAGTGAAAATAAAGGCTTCAACATCAGGGAGCTAACATTGATACCTCAAGTCCTCTGGCCCCATTAAGTTTTCCGGTTGTCACTGTAATGACTTTTGTAGCAAAAGGATCTCTTCAGAATCACATGGCACATCTGGTTGTGATATTGCTTTGGTCTCCTTCAATCTGGAAAAGTTCTTGAATCTTTCTGCAGTTTCCATAACTTTGACATTTAAAGAAATAACTAGTTATTTTATAGAAAATCTCTTTATTTGGGTTTGTCCGGTGTACCCTTACAACTGGACTGAAGTCATACGTCCTTGGCAGGAATATCACAGGAGTGACTCTGCATCCTTCCTATTGCATTCTGTCAGGTGGTCCCCAATTTCAATTGCCCCCATTTCTGGTAATGTTAATTTTCTCACTTGATTAAGGTGGTATATTAATTTCATGTTACTTCTGTAACAAATTATCACAAATGTAATAGGCTCGATTTTTTAAAAAATCTAACAGTCTGGAGGTCACAAATCTAAAATCAGTCTTACAGAGCTAAAAGTCAAGGGATCAGCAGGGCTGGCTCCTTTTGGAAGCACTCCAAGTGAGAATTCATTCCTTACTCTTCCAGCTCTGACTTAGTCACTTTTCTCAGTGCTGAGACACAGTGCCTGATACCCACAAGTTAAAGGAAGAGAGATGTGTTTTGACTCACATTTCAGTCCACGGTCAGCTGGCTCCAAAGAGGAAACAGCATGGTGGAGGGGGCTGATGGAGGAAAGCTGCTTATGTCATGCCAGACAGGAAGCAGAGAGAAATAGGAGGAGCTGAGCCATCCCAGCCATTGCCTGCAATCTCAGCCCTCACTGACATGAGTTCAAGACCAGCCTGAAATACACAGGGAGAACCTGCCTCAAAAACAAATGAATGAATGAATAAATAAATAAAAATTGGGGGGGGGGAGCTGGGGAGGGAGACAGATTCTTCTGCCAGACCCCAGCTCCTGACAGCAAGTCAGCTGTAGCAGCCTACAATCTAGTCACCTTCCAAAAGCCCCACCTAAGAATGCAAAAGGCTTCGACAGACATCCAGGTATAAACCACAGCAAGTCCCAGAGGCTGGCTTGGTGTTCTTGCTCATAGCCAAGCGCCCTAAGACCTCCTCCCCTCTTCATGTTTCACTGTCCCACTCTGACCCCCCCTCACACACACACCTCTTATAAAGACTCCTCTGACCAAGCTACCCTACAATCCGGGAAATCTTCTGAGGCACACAATCACATCTGCAGATCCCTTCTGCTAGAGAAAGTCCCGTTTATGGGTGCTGGGATTAGGATGTGGACATCTTTGGGGGCTTTATTCCATCTACACAATGGTGTCTGCCAGGCTCTCTATACAGTTAACTCTTCTCCCCTTACAATTAATAAGGATTATGTGTGGAGATCCTTTGAAATTTTATAAACATCCCACTTCTCATCAAACTTCCAACTTCACTTCAGTATAGATTCCTATTTCATTTAATGAGTTATAATTTATCACTATCATTGTTTATTTTATTTTAGTACTGGGGATCAAACTCGGGACCTTGCGCTCTCGAGGCAAGCAGGAGAACCACTGAGCTAAAGCCCCGGCCCTCATTGTTTATTGTAATGCTCCAGCTGTCCCAGGTTGGTCAGTGGAGCCCCTTTAAGGCATCTGTGTCCCATGACTTGTCCCCACAATCTCTGAGGACGTCCTTTACTGATACAGGAGTATCTACAGGAACATCTCACCTGGCCCCAGGGTGGCTTTGCTGAACGATATTACATTCTCTCTCCCTCGTCCTCTCCTACTTCTGCTCACCGGGTTCCATAGCATCCTCAAGCTCCTGTGTGTCGGAGAAGACCCACTGGCAGCAGGCTCCCCTCACCCAGCACCCAGCATTTCAGGTTTTAGGGTACACTCAAGCTGAGTCTTTCTGTCTCCCTTACCCCACAGGACCAGCCACTGCCTTTGGCTCCCGACTTCAGCCCCCAGTCCCTCTGGTTTTTGCTTCTGGCTTATGGACATGTGATCTTATTGGGGCCTAGTTATGTCTTTTAAATTTACTTATAGATCTCACTTATTATTGCTGAAGTTTAGAGAAGAGAGAAGCCTCAAACCTAAATCCTCCAAACCATCCCCATGGGAAAGCCAGCACCATTTCAACAGCTGGGATTTTTGTTTTATTTTATTTATTTATTTTTAAGATCATATGCCAACATGTCAGGTTATAGCACTAAGACACTGGGGAAAACAATACGAAAGAAAGCAAGACTTGGAGGCTTGGAGAGAGGTGTCATTCCCTAGACTCAGCCCTTTCCACCTGTCCCTGGGTTGTCCAGTGGCCTCTGGGGCCAGGGCAGAGATGGAGGTGGGGTGGAGAGTGGAAAGACCTGGGGCTCTGGGCAGCCCCAAGAGACCCTTAGGAGCCAGACTTGGGCGCCAGTCGGGTTGGAAGCAGAGGTGGGCGCGGACACATGTTCTGTGCTATCCTCAAGCCCAAGGCAACGCTACTGGTTCCAGCGCTTAGCCAGAGCCACCTGGAAGGTCGCCCTCCATCCTCTCCCGGTACTTCTGCACCCTCCCTGGTAGCTAGCAGGCCAGGGGACCCAGAGCAGTGTCACCCCCCCACACACACACTTTTGCTAGGCGCCTAAGCATTGCGAAGTACCCAGGCTGCCACTGGGTGTCCCGGAACTACCACCAGACGCCCCGGGATATCCCACTCCCCGCCCCGTGCTCGCCCTACCCCTACCCTCCTGGTCCCGCCCCCTCCCTCCAGGCCCCTCCTCTGCTGGGACCGCCTTCCTGCCCCGACTCCTCCCCAAGTGGGCGGGGCTCGCTACTGCAGCCCACCGGGCGCGCTGGGGCTCTCTGCGTGGTCCTAGCGTCCGCCGTCGCACAGGGCCGACTTCGCCGTCCAGTACCCGAACTCTTCGCGTGCCCTTGGCTGCCCTGCGCCGGCTGCCCCGCGCCGAGGCCCCGCCCGCCATGTGGAGCGCGCCCCCGCTGGTCCTCCTCTCCCTGCTCGCCCTCTGGAGTCGCGGTGAGTCCTTCCGGGGAGGAGGGGGTCGGGTCGGCCGAGCAGTGCTGGACTGGGAATTGGGGGGCCAGGGGACAGAGTGTCCCGGCCGACTGGCCGAGTGGGGGCGAGGCAGGGGAGACGGGCCTGAGGGCCTGCGAGGTTGAGGGGATGGGCCTGGAGTGTGCGATGTTTGGGGGTTGGGATTGGGGGACTGCGAGGTTGTGGGGACGGGTCTAGGTCTCTTCGAAGTTGGAGGATGGACCAGGGATGTGTGTGAAGTTTGGGGGAACGTACCGAGGGGGTGGCTACCAGGCTGAGGGGCAACCTCGGGGCGTCTTTGGGGCCCGTAGGTGACTTCCTTGGAGACTGAACACACTCAGTCCGTCCCTATCCTGGGCAGAGCTACTCCATGTCAACCCCCCACCAGCACCCTGTTCAGCGCTGGGGAGACTCTGCAGGAGGGAAAGGGCAGCCCTAGCCCGACAGCGCTGGAGGTTCGTGCACTTTGGGGTTGGACCTACAGAGAAACACTTTGTATGGCACCCCCATCTCTGGTCGCCAATCCTGAACAGCCAATGTGGCTGAGGGTCCAGCTGGTGAGGTGGCACCGGAGAGAGGTCCAGTGGGCCCTGCCGGGCAGCCAGCCTTCACACTGGTGAGGACTCCTGCTGGGTCGCAGTCATCCTACCAGCTCCTGTGCCCTGGCCCAAGCTTGTTGCCTGGACCGATCAGCTTAGGGACCTGGCTTCCTCTGTGCCTGGCAGAGGCCACAGGAGGTGCTGGAGGTCGGGGGACCTGCGAAGTTCCTACTGAGAAGTGGCCCTGCCCTCAAAGACGGTGTCAGAGGAGGGTGAGCAGGCGTGGCTCTGCCACCACTTGCTGGATGGCCCTGTCCCTTGCCTTCCCACTCCCTGCACCTTGATCTCCCCTCTGTTCTTTGGAGATGTACACTCTGCCTGTCAGCTGCCACCCTATGTGGGGGTCAGTGGCAGTGAAGTGTGCCTGGTGGGGCTGCAGCCCACATCACCCGTGCAGGTTCCAGGGCTCCACTCTAGGCTCTAGGGATCAGAGTCTCTGGAAATGGAGTCTGGTGTCTGCTCTCACACCTCCAGTTTATCCCTAGGATGGAGAAGCACTAACGGGACACAGGGAGCTTCTTGTGAAAGTCAGAGATCTCAACTTCTAAAAAAAATCCACACCTGGCTTTTCACAATCAGTAATCCCCTGGGCCCTCACACACAGCACCTATTGACAACCCTGCCTTCCAGGTGTCCCCTGGCCAGTGATTACTTTCTGCAGTCCTCTTCCAAAATCATGGGTGTGTCATTGCATGTTTGGGTTGGACATGATTTTCAGATCAGGAACACGTGGTTCAGGATTCCCTAGTGACCGCTTGTCAGATTGTTAACCTTTTCTCCAGGGGGCCTCTCTCCACCGAAAGGCTCCAGGCCTAAAGGCCCAGCTAAGACCCACTCCTCATTGAATCACTGGGTCATGGCTGACCCCTGGTGGCGGCTTCTCTGCCTGACCGTGGAAGACAGAGCTCCAGGCTGAGATGAGACTCTCAATAGGAGTTTCTACCTTACTGGGCCATCCTGCAGTGTCAGCAGGAAGTGAAAGACCTGTCCTTGGTCTTTTGAGCCTGGCAGGCCTCACAGGCATTAGGCTGCCAACTGGGAAGCTGGAACACTTGCTGTTCTGAGGCCTTTCTGCCACTTCGGGGGGGGGGGCATGCAATCCAGCCCTAGCAGCAGCCCTGCTGGCCATTCGCACCTGTGGGCACCTACCATTCAAGCACAAACACAGGTGCCTACCATGGCATTGTCCGAGTAGGGCAAGTCACAGGGGCAGGGAGGACCTCTGTCTGAAAGAGGCTCCTGGACCTGGCCAGCTGACTTACTGCGGGTCCTAAAAAAAGCTCCTTCTCTCTTAAGTCTCAGTTTCCCCAGTTGAGATATAAGAAGTTGGGGAAATGATCTCAAACTCTGAACTCCATACCTGGTCCTCAAGTTGGCCAGAGTCCCTTGGGACAGCTGGATGTCTAAGGGTATGGAACAAAGGGAAGCAAAAGGAATACATCAGGGGGTCCTGGAGCTGGTCAAGAGCCCCCACAGCCTGCAGGGCACCCTGGATTGTGGGGAACCCAGGGGACCCAGACTTCCCTGGGATCCAGAGCTGCCCTGGATGAGCCAGGCATGCGTGGGCAGGTCTCTAGGGGACCAGAGATCAGCTCAAGTAGATATGCTGATGCAGGGCTGTGGGGGAGACTGGATGCAGCCTGGCTGCAGGCTGGCCCCAGGTATCCAAGCAGCCAGCCAGGAGGTGGTGCTCAGAATCTGGGCCAGGCAGCCTCAGGAACCCCATGGAGAGCCTAGGGCAGAGGGGGAGGGACTCTGGGAAGCAGGTGCATGGGGAGCATCTTCACCAGGCTCTAAATATTACATCTGCTCCAGATGGGCAGTGAGTTGGAAAGTGTAGGGTGGCAGCTGCTCCTATGGCCGTGTGTCCAGCCCAGCACCCACCCGGTAGTCACCACAGACCTACTCCCTGGGGTGCCCTTGGCCCTGGGTCCCACCCACAAAGGAGGGGTTGATAAAACAAGTAAATAGCTCTGGGGGAAAATGGAACCCAATGCTGCACCTGGTGAGCCAGGCAGCCCCTAGCCAGTGTCCCCACCCCCTTCAGCCTCCTCCTACCTGCTCTCCTGGCCCCACCCCGTTTTCTCCACCCATTCTCATCTCTTCCTGTCCTGCTCATGTGTCCTTGACCTCCTCCAAGTGTCCCTTCCGAAGCCTCAGCCCACACTACACCAACACAGTGCACACAAGCTCAAAGCCTGGAGCCTCACCTTTAGCCCCAGACACCTGAGGAAAGTGAGATGTGGGCAGGAGATGGAGGCTGTCAGGGGGCAGGGTTGGGGCTGGGGCTCAGGCTCCTTGCAGGTTTTGACTCTGAGTCCAAACCTCTCCTCTAAGCTCCAGATCAGAAGCCAGGAGACCACCCCTGGACCACCCCAGGTGGGGTCTCAAAGGGACCTTGTATCCTCTTCAAAAGAAGGAACAATTCTGGCACATAGAACAGTGCCTACATAAGCAAGTCACTCAGATATCGGCAGCGGGTAGGCTGGGGTGGTCCAGGCAGGAGAAATGGCATGCTCAGAGACCAAAAAGTGAGACGGTAAAGGGCACTTGGGGGAAGGCAAGCCATAGGTATGGTCACAGTGTATACAGTGACAGGGCCATGGTAGAAAGGGAAGATAAAGATAAGCCAATGCTAGGAGCAGAAGGCCTTGAATGCCAAACTAAAACATTTGCATTTTAATTCTGCCTTCAGCCCTGAAACATTGTGGATAGGAAAGAATACTAATCCAGTTTGTGGGAGGACCTCCACCCTGGCACTATAGGATGTATGGGTGGCAGAAGTCAGGGTGGAGATGCACAGAGGCCATGGAGGAAGGGCAGGGGAGGTGAGCTAGGGTCTGGCCATGGGAGTGGAGATGGGGGGACAGACTGAGAGACTTAGGGGTGGAATGGATGACCCAAAGGAGGAAGAGGTGCCCAGGTCTGGGACTGGATGTCTGGGCATGGGAGGAGTTTCAGGGACCCCCGATTAGGTGCATGATGCGGAATGAAGAGAAAGACAAATAATAAAAGAAATGAGGCCCGGGAGGTCAGAGCTTCTAGTGGGCAAAGACCCTGAACCTCTGGACTTGCTGGTATTTTACTGAGCACAAAGCAGCCGGGGGCAGGGTATGGTCAGGTATGTGGGGTGATGATCAGAGGTGCTGACGCGAGCGAGGCCTAGCAAGAGCAGAACAAAGCATTCTTGCAAGGAGTAAATCTTAGGTCAATGGGAACTTGTTCTTTCCCTTAGATTAATATTAACTTTTTATAGAGGATGAGCAAGAGTCATGGGGTCTTCAGCTGCAGATGCTATCGGCTAATACAGGTGCCACAGTGGGTTAGTCTCAGCTGTGGCCAGCTGCCGACATTACACTGGGCACTTAAGCCTCAGACCAGCTCTGAATTATAAGTCTAAGCTCACTGTATTAAGCCTATTGAATATAACCAAAGCCTGCTGAACACCATCTTAAAGTGTTCTCCTTCAAGGGAGCAGTAGCAGGAGGAGAAGGATAAGGCACGAGGGGTGCTGAGTTCTGCTGTGGCTGTGTCTAGTCTGAGATCCCCAAGGAGAGGCCGGCCTGCTGTTCTCTGGCTGCCTCAGCTGCCCCAAGGGCACCCATGCTCCCAGTTCTCACAGCTGTCCCTTCCGCCACCGTAGTGTCTGCCTGTGTGACTTTCAGGGGACAGCCGCCTGGCCAACGCAGAGGAGAAGCTGCTGGATGACCTGCTGAACAAAACCCGCTACAACAACCTCATCCGCCCAGCCGCCACTTCCTCGCAGCTCATCTCCATCAAGCTGCAGCTGTTCCTGGCCCAGCTCATCAGCGTGGTAGGGATGGAGAGTATGGAGGGCCGGGCTGGGGTTCTGGAGAAGGTCAGGGGATGCAGTGCCCCCTCCCCTCCTCCCCACATCCATGTGCAAGGTGGGGGTTGGGCAACCAGAGCTTTACTTCTGGCTTTGCCCAGATTTCCTGGCTTTTTCATCTTTTCTATTTTTATTTTTTATTATTTATTTATTTATTTATTTTTTGGTACTGGGGATCAAACTCAGGACCTTTCGCTTACGAGGCAGGCAATGGAACCACTGAGCTAAATCCCCGGCCCATCTTTCCTATTTTTAAAAAACTGTATTAATATATATATATTTAATTGATACATGATATTCATATGTATAAATGGGGTGCAGTGTAACATTCAGCACATGCATACAGTGTGTCGTGGTCACTTGAGGGTAGCTGGTACATCTATTGTCTAAGACATGGGATTTCTCTGTGTTGGGAACATTCAAAGTCCTTTGAGCTGTTTTGAAATATTCAGTTAATTGTTGTCAACCGCAGTCATCCCACTAAGACATTCAGCCCCCAGCCAGCTGCACCCCTGCACCCATTACCCACCCTCCCTCCAGGCCCTTCCCGGGCTCTGATCACCATGCTTCTCTTCTCTGCTGCTTTGAGATCTGGTCTTTTTCCATATCTGTAAATGAAGGGATTTGCTTCAACTTTAAGGGGCCTGACAGCTGCCTCTGAGGTTTGAATCTTTCGTCCAAAAATGCTCTCTGCATCTGTACATGTGAAGGTCTCGTTGCCTGGGAATAACCTGGCCTCTTGTGCTCCACAGTTTACAGCCATCTGCAAGTCTGTGATCTCAATATCAATTAAAACACTTTGGCAACAAAATAAAAATAAAAATGCCTTGGCATTAACAGACTATCCAGCTAAGTGTGGCTAACACAAGAACATGTCTGATGTCACATAACAAGAGAGCAGGCCACACTTTCAAGGATGGCAGGACGTCAATGATGTCACAGCCCTACAGTTATCTTGTTTTTCCCTCATGGTCACAAGATAGCAGTCACTATTCCAAACATAAAATCCTCACACGACAGCATCCATAGCAGGAGAAGGGAAACTTTTTAGGATTCCTTTTTGAGTCAGAAAAACTTTCTCAGAGACTTGTCCCCTGGATAGCCCCTTGCACGTCATAGGTAAGGGCTATAGCACGTGCCTGAGCCTTAACCAGGCATTGTTAAGAGGAATAGAATTCCCATAGTTGGCTTCGATTTGTTAGTACATGGTGAGGAGACTGGGTCAATAGGTATCTGATATCTAATGAAATCACTGTTTGTTAACAAAGGAGAAAGGGGGTAGATGACCCTTACTTACATGGGTGTCAGCTGGCCTGTGAGGGACTTTGCTCTCTAGCACACTGTGGCTGTCCTTGTCCTCACGGCCCACTCTACCTGTTCCATAGCCTGCTCACCAGGGGATCTCACGCACCCCCTCCTTGCTGGGGAGATGGGAACCAGGCTAGGGGGCTGATGGGTGCAGAGACTCGGGTGTGGGGCAGGACTGGGGTGGCCACAGCCCCTGATGGACCGGAGTGGTGAAGACCCAGTCAGGCATGGAAAGGAGGCAAGGATGCAGCAGCCACAGGGAGGATGCCAGGTCTCAGTGCATGGATGTGGGCAGGGGCACAGATTCGGGCAGGCTAGGGTGAGAGAGAATTTCCCTTCCCCTTGCTGTCCTGAGTTGAGGTTTCCAAGGGGGCTCTGGCCAGTTGCCGGCCTTGCCCTGTGCCCACCCACACCGTCCTGCCCCTGGAGCAGCTCTGAGCAGGGTCACATGGGGCAGGTACAGGGTTCGTGGAGAGGGGAGGCCAAGGGAGCCAAGCTTCTCAGGGACGGTGCCAGTCTTCCTCATCCCCTCCTCTCTGCAGCACACAAACCCAGCTCTCAAAGGGAAGTGCCCTGGCCAGGGTAAGGTCTGGCTCCTCCCATCCTGCCACGCAGGGTGGGGGGCAGCCCTGGAATGTGGAGGCCAGGACAGCGCTGTGCTCCTTGTCCCTCTCCCTTCTTCCTGGATGCAGATTGGCAGCCACAGGGCTCCACGCTGGTCCATGCTAGGTGGTGTCTGAGCATTGCTGCCTAGCACGGGCGTTTTGGTATGAGCTCTGGGTGCTACAGCCCAGCTCCTGCCCAAGGGAGGAAGAACAGGCAGGCGGCCCAGCCACAGCTGCTCTGTAGGTCCTGTGTGGTGGCAGAAATTGCCAGAGGAGAGGGGACATGGCCTTGGTTCTGCCCCTGCACATATTGCCCTAAAGCCCATCTATAAAGCAAGTATTTGTCTTAAGGGTGGGAGTTCTTTTCCAGGGTTTGTTTTTTGAAGAGGGAGGGTTAGAGGCACAACAGCTTAAAGATGGAAGTTTCTAGGGAACAGGCAAGGAGTTGGCGCTGGTTGAGACATGCAGGCCTTCCGAAGTGAGCCTTGGGGTGGAGAGCAGGGTCTCCCAGATCCTAAGGCACAGTCATGGAAGTGGGAATGTGGGGGGCAGTGTCAAGACACAGGCAACCTTCTGGGGGGCAGAAGGCTCCGTGCCTAAAAGAGCTAAGTTACTATGGTAACACATCTGTTAAACTCATCAGAGGGTACACCCCAGATCCGTGCTGCTCAAGTCACAAAATTGAATGATGCTTTTAATCTGGAACAAGAAAAAAACTGCAAATCTAGAATTAGACAAGGGTTTTGAAGGTCTCTTTCAAAAATGAAGGTGAAGTGAACGTGTTTTCAAACAAAAAAAATAGGTAACACCAGAATATCCAATACTAAATGTTGTTCTTTTGCCAGTAGGAAAATTATCCGAAATCACAAACAGGGTAAATGGACAGGTGGATTATGCTGATATTGACACTGGAAAATAGTAAAAATGTCTTAGTCCCACAAGTCAGGAGGCATAGATGGAGTAGTTCTATAGTCCTTGCTTGTTCTGGAAGTGGTGAAAGTACTAATTTATATCAGGCTCTAAAAAGTCCAGTGTGTATACTACAGTCTCCAGGGCAACTGCCAAAGCAAGAGGCATGTTGATATGAGGAGAGATGGAACAACAAATAATAAAATGAGTGGAGAAAATAGAATATAGTACACAGAAAACAAACAGATGGTAGGTTTAAACCCAAATGCAGATGCTTCTTGACCTGAGTTGGGGTTGTGTCCCCATAAACCCGTTGTAAATTAGAAATGCTATAAGTCAAAGATGTGTTTACCACCTGGATAAACTCTTCATAAAGTGAGAAAAATCACCAGCTGAACCGCCCTAAGTCAGGCCCCGCCACTAGGTCAGTAGGTCAATAGCTGGGTTAAATGTAAATGGCCTAAATAATCAAAATGAGATCACTGGCACACATCCCTACACACACACACACACACACACACATATACACACACACACACTTGGTGCCCTTGCCCCAGTATCCTGGGATGTGGATGCTATGGTTGGAGCCCTGGTAGCCACTCTGGGCCATCAGATGAGGGCATACTCTTAAGTATGAGAGAGAAGGAAGCTGGAAAGAACCTGGCACCTGAGGGTTTCTCAGAGTGGAACCACCGTGTCTATCCCAAATACTACACGAGAGGGATATAGACTTCTACTTGAGTTCTGGGATGCTCTTCTCTGTTCTTGGCAGCTGACATTTGTCCTACTGAAGCCCTTATCTACCTGAGGGCTCAGGACAGGTTCCTGGAAGAAGTGTCCACCAGGCTGAAGTCAGGACGTTGCGCATGACCTTGATGAGAGGAGCCAGGAGAAGGGATGCAGACTGAGAGGACAGGATGCATGCAGAGAGCAAGGAGGCCCAGGCTGCAGCAGAGGGGAGGGGAGCACAGGGAGGTGAGGTGAGGCCGGAGTAGAGGGACAGGATGTTACAGTTGGCATGGATTTGTAGAGGAGTCGATGGAGATTCTGTGTGTGAAGGTGACCCAGACAGGCTGAGATGGGGAGGGGAATGGCAGAGTGTTTGGAGAGTCCATCCTGGCTGCGAAGGAAAAGGCAGATGGTGTGCCTGTGCATGTGTATGTGTGTGCACACGTGTGAGTGCGCACGTACATGCATGTGTACTGTGTGCCTTGTGTAGTGTGTGTGCACATGCCTGTGGATTTGTGTGTAGTATTGCAGTGTGTGCATGTGTAGTGTGTGCATGTGTGTATGTGTGCACGCACTTGTATGTGTGTGCATGTGTGGTGATGGTGTGCAGAGTGGACACAGGCCATTGTAGAGGTCTGGTGTGGCCCAGGTGAGAGACGGATCAGCATGGCCTGGATCCTGAGCGTCAAGCTCCTGTACTCATCCTAAACATGATCATCAGGTATGGGACACGTCCCGGGTGCTTTTCACCATGTCGTCCTTGCTTGAGGGCTTTGGGTTCTTTCGGGAGGCTGGATTCTCATGGGAGGTGGTGTCAATACACAAAAAGATAGATGCTGTCTAGTGGCAGCAATCACTATAAAGACAGACTAGGAAGGATAAGGGGGAGGAAGGGTGCTATTTTATGCAGGAGGTTGAGATTTCTCCAATAAGGGAACGGTTCTGACACTTGAAGACAGGGAGGAAGTTGTGTGCAGGCTTTCCAGGGATGCAGCAGAGGCTGCTGTAGCTGCTGTGGGAGAGCATGTGGGAGCGTGTTGAGGCATAAGTTCATGGAGCTCGTGACATAGGTGGGACAGGTGAGCAGAGCCTGGTGGACCCTGGGGTGGACTTCACTTTGGATATTTTAGAGAAGCAGTGGGTTTTGAGCAGAGCCCCATGGTCCACACTGAGATTCTACAGGGACCACCCTGGTGGCTGTGTAGAGAAAGGGCTAAAGTCAGACCCAGGACCAGTTAGGATGTGGCTGCAGTATTCCAGGTGACAGATGTTGGTGGCAGTGAAGATGGAACAAAGCAGACAGATTTGAGGTGCATGTGGGACATTAGTCAACGATACTTATGGGTCGATCAGAGACTATTCCCAGGTTTCCAGCTTGCTGCATGGAATAGCAGAGTGCCCTGTGTGATGCTTGGGGAAGACTATGAGCTCCATCTCTACATCCTAGGTATGAAATGCCTTTGAGCCACCTAAGAGATCTCAGGTGGCAGCCAGTCACGCTGGCTGGGAGCCTTTTCAAGATAAAGCTTAGTCCATCTGTGATGCTCCTCCTTGCTCTCTCTTCTTCCTTAGAATGAGCGAGAGCAGATCATGACCACCAATGTCTGGCTGAAGCAGGTAAGTGTCCCGCAGGTTCCGCGGCCTAGGCGGCGTCTCCTCCGGGCCGCCCTGGGGTGGCAATGGACCTACGAGTGACAACGGCCTTGCTGTGTGCTCAGTGCTGGACCGACTACCGCCTGGCCTGGAACAGCTCCCACTATGAGGGTGTGAACATCCTGAGGATCCCAGCCAAGCGCGTCTGGTTGCCAGACATTGTGCTCTACAACAAGTGAGTGGCTGCAAGGCTAGGGTCTGGGCAGTGGCCACGGCCACAGGCCCTGCCTCTGGGGGCACCAAGGCCCCTTCCAGCCCTGAGCCTCTTTGGTGCTTCATGGCTTTTGGGCATCAGGCTGGAAGAAGAGCAGAGCTCAGAGCCAGAGTTCAGCTGAGACTGGAAGTTGGCCAGCAAGGAGAGGAGCCTTGTCTGATACCTTCAGGCCCAGCTGGGGCCAGGGCAGCTCTGACAGTAAACCCAGCTCTGCCTGTCCTCTGTTGTCTTCTGAGCCTCACTCAGTGTTGGGTAGCACTGCCATACCGTGTGCAAAGAGGTAGTCTGAGTATGGTGGCATGCACCAGCAGTCCCAGCTATTCAGGAGGCTGAGACAGGAGAATTACTTGAGACCAGCCTGGGCAACATATCCTGGTTCCATCTCAAAAAATACTTAGGTAGGTGGAAAGAGAAAGACTCTTCCTGGGTTGTAATTATACCAACAATAGCATGAAATGATTAAAAGTATGCAGATGAAGCTGGGCACAGTGGCATGAGTGCTTGTGGTCCCAACTACTCAGGGGGCGGAGGCAGAAGGATTACTTGAGCCCAGAGGTTCAGCCTGGGCAGCTCAGTGAGACTATGTCTGAAAGAAACAAGCATGAGTTGTAATTGAGGGACAGACGGACCTGAATTCAAATCTCAACTGCATTACTTATTGGTCTTCTGATCTTGAAGAAGTAATTTTCCCATCTGTAAAATGGGGGTCATGATAAGATGCACATAACTGGACTATGAGGAGGCTTGCATGAGCTGTTCCCTGTGAAGCCTCAGACTGTGTCGTGGCAGGGCTTTCTTTACCGCCAGACACCAAGCAAAGCAGGCCCCCTTCATGGGGGCCGGGGTGTGGATGGCTGGCTGGTGGGAATAATCCCGGGGGCGCTGTGGGGAGTACTCTCAGTGGGCTTCACATGGCTCTCCCTACGCCCTGTTCCGACCCAGTGCCGACGGGACCTATGAAGTGTCGGTCTACGCCAACGTGGTGCTCCGCTCCAACGGCAGCATCGAGTGGCTGCCCCCCGCCATCTACAAGAGTGCCTGCAAGATTGAGGTGAGGCACTTCCCCTTCGACCAGCAGAACTGCACCCTCAAGTTCCGCTCCTGGACCTATGACCACACGGAGATCGACATGGTCCTGATGTCGCCCACGGCCAGGATGGACGACTTCACGCCCAGCGGCGAGTGGGACATTGTGGCCCTCCCGGGGCGGAGGATGGTGGACCCCCTGGACCCCAGCTATGTGGACATCACCTACGACTTCATCATCCGGCGCAAGCCGCTCTTCTACACCATCAACCTCATTGTGCCCTGTGTGCTCATCACCTCGCTGGCCATCCTCGTCTTCTACCTGCCGTCCGACTGTGGTGAGAAGATGACGCTGTGCATCTCCGTGCTGCTGGCGCTCACCTTCTTCCTGCTGCTCATCTCCAAGATTGTGCCGCCCACCTCGCTGGATGTGCCGCTCATTGGCAAGTACCTCATGTTCACCATGGTGCTGGTCACCTTCTCCATCGTCACCACTGTGTGCGTGCTCAACGTGCACCACCGCTCGCCTAGCACACACACCATGGCCCCCTGGGTCAAGCGCTGCTTCCTGCACAAGCTGCCCACCTTCCTCTTCATGAGGCGCCTCGGCCTGGATAACAGCCTGGCCAGCGTCCCCCAGCCTGGCCAGCAGCCCCCGACTAAGACCAAGGCCGCTGCCGGCTCTGCCAACTTCTACAGCAACTCTATGTACTTTGCGAACCGTGCCCCTGCGGCGCCCAAGTCCCTGGCTGGCTCCCACACCGAAGGCATTGCCAAGGATTTCCGGCTGAGGTCCTCGAGGAGATTCGGGCAGGATGTGCGGGAGGCCCTGGAGGGGGTCAGCTTCATTGCCCAGCACATGAAAAGCGATGATGAGGACCAGAGTGTAAGTGGCAAGCCCAACCCCACCCGCCTGCCGGGGAAGGGGCTCAGACAGTAAGTTTCCCATTTCCTGTGGTTCCCTCCCGGGCACCAGCTTCTACACTCATCCAGCAAGGAACCCACAGCTGGAATGTGCAAGGGGAAGAAGGAAGAAGTAGCAATGGTCTTTTTGTGTTTGTTCTGGGTTCCCCCAAAGCAAACCTGAGATGGGGTTTGGGGGCAAGTAGTTTGAGAGGTGACCCTGGTTGCACAGTGCAATATGGGGACAGGAGGAAAGCACTGTAGAATATCAGCAGGACGCTGCTGTGGGCCCACACTCCCAGTAGAGACCCCCCAAGGGGCCACAGTCACCAGCATCACAACCCCTGGAGGGATGAGGGGTACTTACCCACCAGAGCCTGACCCTCTATGCTGACTGTAGCTGGGGGCCTTAGTTAGCATCCCTGCGTGCCCTGGCTTTGCCATCTGGAGAGCAGGCAGCCTGGGTGCTGGAGAAAGCCCTGGGGCAGGGAGATAGGAGAGGAGATCCAGGCCTTGAGCAGACTGTCATGGGCTGAAAGATGGCTCTGCAGCCCTTTCGGGGTGTAGGTGGGCAGGCGCCACATAGACATTTATAGCTTTCAGGGGCCCAAGACCATCAAGTAAAATATTATTGCTACCAACTAAGAAACAGTCAAGTGGGTGACTAAAGATCCTAAAATGAGGTTTAGTTCACACTCACAGGACAAAGCCATGAGTAAGTAACAGGTCTAGGGTGGTTTCATACCTGAACACGGGACAGGATAGTCACGGTTGGAAATTTTCACACTTATTTTCATCCCAGGCAGAACAAGCACTGGACTCATGTGCATATTCTCACTTCCACACAGACTGGCTCAGATCCTCTGGACAGATTTCCACAGCACAGCATGCTGCCCCCCGCTTCCCCTGCCCCGAGCTGCATGGAGGAAAGAGGACATTTCCTCATTCTTATCTTTCTATAGTTCCTTCACTAGCTGTATTCTCGAGGGGAAGCCCTGGTGGTCCATTAGTTAGCATGGCTGGAAAATCACAGGCCAGAAAAGCTACATGTCATACCGAGCAGACAGAAGAGCTGTGAACAGAAGGAATCTAGGGCATGAGGTTTTCATTCACACCTCCACTGCTCAGGGTGTAGACCTCTGGCCAGCGGCCTTTGCATTGCCTACAGCTTGCTAGAAGCCTAAACTCCCAGGCCCACCCCAGACCCCTGACAGAACCCAAGGAGCCATCCTAGGCCCACCCCAGATAACAGGAGCTCTGGGCACATTCCAAGTTGAAAAGCAGCTTTGTAGGATTTTACCTTCTAAAAAGTTGATTTGGTCGTGCTATTCTTTTTCTTTTTGTATTGGGAATTGAACCCAGGGCCTTTTCACTGAGCTATATCCCCAGCTCTTGTTAATTTCTTTTATTTTGAGACAGGGTCTCATGTTAAGTTGCCCAGGCGGGGCTCCAATTTGTGCTCCTCCTACCTCAGCCTCCTAGATTGCTGGGATTGTAGGTGTGCATCACTGTACCTAACTTGATCATGCTATATTCTTTAGTTGAAAATCATCCAGAACTTCAACATCTCCTAATCCACTGGCTCCCAGACATTAATGGGCATTCTGGGGCCCTGCCAGCTAACTCAGAACCACAGAATTAGCTTTAAGGCAGCCCACTGTGGGGAAAGCATCTAGGAACTGCATTTCTAAACGGATCTCTGGCAGTGCATGTGCATGTGCCAGGCTGAGGAGAGGCTCTGGCCCTGCACCCTGGCTGAGTGGGCACCCATCCTAAGTGCTCTCTTTTAGAGGCCTTGCCAGCCCTTGGCACTCATAGCCTCTGGCTGCTCTGAGATCAATCCATTTTAGCCTCTGGGCAAGGAGCCTGCAGGACCCCGACTGTGAGCCCAGCAGCAGCCACATAGCTCCAAATTCAAACCAGGTGCTCTACCGGGGGTAGACATGCCTGACTTCTAACCTCCCAGGAGCCCTATTTTATGGTGAGGAGATATTTCCTGATTTGCTGGAGTCACACAGCTGGCTCCGGGCAAAGCCAGGCTCTGCACCCAGATATTCTGGATATTCCTGCCATCCTTAGTCTCTCCTGGACTGGCCCTACACTGAGCACACTGGTTGAATGACATCCTCTGTGTCCTTGCAGAAGTCCGTCCCCTCTCTGGGGCACAGGACCCCCTCCCCTACTCAGCACCGGGCACTGCTCATTATCTGCAACACCTTCTCCCTCCCCAGTGATTAACTGTTTACCATAAATAGCATGGAAGTGTAAAAAGAGGGGAAAACCACACACACAAGCCATTTGGAACTGAGGCTGTCAAGAGACCCAGGCAGGCCAGGTGTGATCCAGGGGAGCACTTTGAGGTGCTGCTGGGTCTCAGGGATGGGTGCCTGGCATGTTTGGTGGGGTGGTGGTGGCTGGTTTGACACAGGATTGACCTGCAGGGTAGACGCACACCATCTAGGGGACTCCAACAAATTGGGTCACTGATGTCAGCCTGCCTAATGCTGCCCAGATTTCCAGCTCCAGAGCTGCTGGGGAGCCTTCTAGGCCAGGGGTGGGGGAGCTCAGGATGCTGGGCACTCAGCCTTCCTGGACACTGCCCCCCAGGGCCAAGGATATAGGCACATCTGCAGTGACACCTCTGCGGGCCAGCCAGGTCCCAGCTAATGTCACATCCCATGGAAGGGCCCCAGAAGACAACAGAGAGAGAGGGAGACAGAGACAGAGGCACAGAGAGAGCCAGATGATGAGCCTGGAGGAAGCTGAGTCTTAATGATAGGAAATAGCAGGCACTGCTGAGAATGGAATTGGACAAATTAAAAAGCATCATCTCCAGTTGGTTCTGCAAACATCCAGTGCCCTGCCTAGTAAAGTAGGGGGGCCCCAAATCTTCCTCTGCAGAGAGCCAGCTGGAGCCAAAAACAGGAGAAAGGGGCCTTGGGCTCCTCAGACCCCAGCTCCCTTTATTTATAGCCAGATTGGGTTTTTGAATCACATGTCTGTGGTATAACCAGTCTGCTGTCTGCAGGTTTTACATCCACGGATTCAACTGTGTATCAAAAATATTCAGAAAAAACATCTGTATTGAATGTGTACAGATTCTTTTCTTGTTATTCCCTAAATGATGCAGCATAACAACTATTTAGTCAGCATCTGGCGTGCACTGGGTATCATAAGTATCTAGAGGGGTTCAGAGTATGTGTAGGGTACACAGGTTATGTGCACATGGTCCCACCTGCTGTGTGAGAGACCTGAGCATCCTTGGATTTGGGGATCCATGGGATCTGAAGGACTATGGCTTCAGGACCCCTTCCAGTCCTAACTTTTCTATACAGTTTAAGCTCCTGGTGGCTTTTGGGTGGAGCCCAGAATGCCACAGAGTTGCCAGCTGAGGCCAGCCTGAGACTCAGAATTCACCACCTGGTGCATGGTTCAAGCCCACAGGGAGCTGCCAGGGGCCCCACCCGAATGCCAAGGGCCAAGTCAGGGAAGGCAGGACCCCAGTTCTGCACCCGTAACAAGCCTCTCTATCTGCCCGCAGGTCATTGAAGACTGGAAGTACGTGGCCATGGTGGTGGACCGGCTGTTCCTGTGGGTGTTTGTGTTTGTGTGTGTCCTGGGCACCGTGGGGCTCTTCCTGCCTCCCCTGTTCCAGACCCACATGCCTTCTGAGGGGCCCTAGGGTGCCTGCCCAGCATGTCCAGGGGCCCCTGGGTGGAGGGGTGGGATGACATGCACTGCCAGGTGGGAGAATTCTGCTCCCTTCTGGGTCACAGCTGATGAGCTGAACAGATATGTGACTATCGGCAATCAACCCCATCAAATCAGCCACAGCCTTGAGAGGTGCAGAATGGGGGCCTGCACTGTTCTCTCCAAATGCCTTAGAGGGAGCCCCAGCATGTGGGGGTGGCTACAGACAGTTGAATTCCTCCCATGCCAGACCTGGGGTGAGATGAACATCCAGCAGCCTCTACTATGTGCATACTGGCAGAACCTACTACACACCAGGCCCCTCCCTTCAGCCACCCCCCAGCCTTCCTCCACCTGTTTACTGGGCTCTCTGCTTGCCTTTCAACCCCATGCACACTTCCAGTTCTTCTCTGCCTCAGGGCCTTTGCACCTGCTGTTCCTGCTCCCCAATCTCCTTCCTATGTCTGTGCTAGCCATGCTGTCTTCCACAGCTGCATTGGTCAGGGCTTGCTCCTGTGGTCCTCTGCTCCAATGTCACCTCCTAGAGGTTTTCCCTGATCTCCCATCCTAAAGCAGCCTCTCTCATGACCGTGTCATAGCCTCAAGCCCCTCAGTACCAGCAGTCCTTATCTGGTGGCTCCCTTATCACCCACATCTCATCCTAGAGTGTGTGCTCCAGAGAGCAGGGGCCTGGGACATAGCAGGTGCAAAATAAATGTGTGTTGAAAGAACAGATGGCTCCTACTTCTCCTTCAAGCTCCTGTACCCTCCTCTGTCCCCAGCCTACCCTAGAGGGAGTGGCTGCCTCCTCTGGGTCCTCGAAGCTCTGGCCACTTCCTGCTTCTCCATCAGGCTGGCTCAGATCTGTCGCCCCCACCACACAACTCAGTTTTCCCCAGCGCCTGGCATGCACAGGCACTTAGAACATTGTGGGATGGAGAAGAACATTTTTTTTGTTTTGTTTTGTTTTTTGGTACCGGGGATCGAACTTGAGACCTTGTGCTTGCAAGGCAGGTGCCGGAACCATTGAGCTAAATCCCCGGCTGAGAAGAACATTTTAAAGAATTCCCTTTAAAAAAAATAATCACAGTAAAATTGACTTCTTAATGTATAATTCTCTGAATTTAACACAGGTGTAGACTTGTGTAACTACCAACACATTGGAACCCAGGGTAGATCCATCACCTACGACATCCCCTCCACTCCAAGCCCTGACAAGCATTTCTCCGGTCTCTGTCCATATAGCATAGGTCTTCCAGATGGCCACTTAGTGAACCTTACAGTGTGCAACCTTTGGAGCCTGGCTTCTTCCCTCAGCCCAGAGCCTTTCAGATTCACCAGGTTGCTGAAGGAATCCAGAGTGTGGCATTTGGTTGCTGGGCAATGTTCTGTCCCGTGGGTGCTGATGCAATTGTGAATAGAGCTAAAAAAAATTCAATACAGTATTGTTATGAGCAAAAATGTTTATTTCTCTGCATAAGCACTCAGCCTGTGATCATTGGCTTATGTGGTCAGAGAATGGGTAACCTTACATGACAATTTCTAGAGTGGCAATCCTGTCGGGAAGTCTGAGCAATCCTGTTGCTCCGTAACCTTGTGTGCACTCCACATTGACAGCATTTGTTTTATCTCAGCTGTCCCGGGTGTGACAGGGCACAGCATCCTGGTTTTCATTTGTTTTTGTTTCCCTGATGGCCAGGTAAACATTTTTTCCTCTGTCATCCTCTTTGGTAAAGTGTCTTTACCACCTTTGCTCATTTTAAAAACTGGGTTGTAGTTTTCCTATTGCTAAATTTCCTGAAAAGCATTATTGAGGTATAAATTATGTATCACAATTCACTCAAAATTTTATCGTGTACAATCCAATGCATTATAGAGTGATTGTCACCACAGTCCAGGGTTAGGACACTTGAGCCACCTAAGATAACCCCATACCCCCCTATGCCAACTGCTTTGTTTTGAGGGTTCTTTATATATTCTGGATACAAGTGCTTTGGTGAATAATGTGATTTGCCAGATTTTCCAAATGAAGGAACTTTTGCCAGGAGAATGAGAACAAGCACTGCCTCCAAGACAGAGGGGATTGGTGATATGTACATCATCGTCCTTAGGCCAACCGGCCCAGCCCCTCATGCTGCCCCCAGGGAAGTGTGATAACGATTAGCAACACTGTAGAATGTGAGAGCTAAGTGTGTGACAGGCCACTTGGTCCCCCACCCCGTTTCCTAGCCCAAATGTCCCCCAGAATAATTGGCCACATTATTGGCCCTGGGCGTGTCACTGGTCATTCCCCAACACACAATCCCGTGGGCCAGACAGGATTTCTCTCCCTTTGATGAAAAACACCAGGTGAAAGCTGTTGTCCTGGAGGCAGGTGTTTTGGTTTAAACCGTGAGCAGCCTTTCTCAGGGTGCTGAGGGCTCTCTGCATGTGTGCGGACCATCACAGAGCTTCCACAGATACTAGGAAGCTTTCAGGTGCCCGGGGACCCCAGGGTTGCAGACAGCAGCCAGCAGAGGAGACCTAGTGGGGTCACAGGGCGTCGAGTCCCCTCTGATTGCTTCAAGCCCACCGTTACTTTTTAGTTTTACTTCTTAGTGAAGAGCATTTCAAACATATTCTAAAGAGGAAAGAACGGTGGAACAAAGCCACTACCTGGCCTGAGCCAGGGTCACCGCGTCACCACTGTTTATACTGACTCTAGTCCACCTGCCCCTCCCTGAACTGTAGGACTTAAAAACAAGCAGAAACCCAACTCGCCCCAAAACGTCCAACACTGCTCCCAGGGTCCCAGCCGGTGGAAGCTGTAGTGCAACTCGGGGATAGAGCGGGCTTGGGGGGGGTGGGGTCGTCCGCGGGAGACACGGGAGGGAGGGAGCAGGAGACCCGAGGCGAGCCCCGCCCACACAGGCCAGCCCCGCCCACATTAGCCCCGCCCTAGAGGCCCTCCACTCGGAGCACAGCCCCCGTCCAAGGCCCCACGCCAAGTTCCGCCCATACTCGCCCTCGCTCCACCCACACTCGCTCCAGCCTCTCCCGAGGCTGGGGACGCCAGGCTCACCCCGTCTGGACCAGGGTGGAGTGCGGTGGGCCAGGCGGGTCAGCTCCGTCCGCTCTGTCCGCTCGGTCCCTGCGTCCCCGCGTCCCCGCCATGGGCGCCCGCCAGTCGTCGCCGCAGCCTGGACTGCTCTTGTTGTTGCTGCTGCCGCCAGGTACCGCGCGAGCCGAGGACGCCAACCGGGACGCGGGATGCGGGGTTTGGCGGGCGCCCCCTTCTCCTTCCCGTTCCTCTGGTCCCCAGGTCCCCAGAGCGGGGCGGGCGTCCTGCGTCCTCGTGGATCAGGACCGGGACAGGGACGGGGGGCCGCCTGTCTGCTCCTCGCCCGCTTCACAGCTGGGGACCGCCGGAACTCGTCTTGGGCGCCGGGGAGGGACAGTGGCCCCCGTGACCCCCGCCCCGCCAGGCTTCGGGTGACCTGGCTGTCTCGGGGTGGCCCCGGTGACTTGTGTGGCCCCAGGGTGGCCAGTGGACGCCGACGGACGCCAGTCCTCGGGCGCTGTCCCCGCCCTCGGTGCTGACCGCCCCCCCAGCACATCCGCGCCCCCTATTTCTGGGAGCGGGGTGGGGGACGAGACCCTGTGAGCCCTGCAGGGAGCGCCGCTCCCCAGGCCCCGTCCCCCCATCTGCGAGGTGGCGCAGCCTTATGCTTGGAACAAAGGGTCGCGGGCTCTGGAGGAAGGACCGGTCAGGTGACGTCGCCAGCAGGGACCGGGGCGTGGCACGAAAGAGGCTGAAGGCCGAGCCCAAGCCGACCCGGGCCCGGGTCTGCCGCCCAGGTGGGGACCCTGGTTGGGCCCGCTGGTCCTTCCTTCTGTCCCAGGAGCAGCGATCACTATGGCCCCTGTGGTGATAGCACGGGCGAGGGTCGCCAAGCCTTACCAGGTCCCTGAGCTGGCACTGGTGCAGCCCTCGAGGCGGGCACGTGCTCAATTCACTTGATGGCCACCGAAACTGGAGCTCAGACAAGCTAAGCCTGCCAAGTTCACAGGGCTTTCTGGCCTCAGGATTTTCGTCTGTCCAGCGTTAGAGCCTAGGCTGGTACTCTGAGTGTGTGCCACCTAGCAGAGCCTTGTTTCTGGGAGGCCTCAGTTTCCCCCTCTGTAACTTGAGTGGAGATGTCCCTGGGGGAGGGACAGGGAGCACTTCAATGTCATTTGAGACCCACTTCAGTGTCTTTCTGACGGGCTGACGGGGCTGCTCCCCCAGTGGCCCGCGCCTCCGAGGCTGAGCACCGCCTGTTTGAGCACCTGTTCGAGGACTACAACGAGATCATCCGGCCCGTAACTAACGTGTCCAACCCGGTCATCATCCAGTTCGAGGTGTCTATGTCCCAGCTGGTGAAGGTGGTGAGTGAGGGCCTGGCTGCGGGCTCGGGGTCTCTCCCGGAGCAGCCTGGCATTGTCAGCATCTGTCTGTTTCCGTCTCTCCGCAGGACGAAGTGAACCAGATTATGGAGACAAACCTGTGGCTCAAGCAGGTGAGTGACTGCTCCTCAACCGCTGCCCCCTGGTGGCCACTGCCTGACGTGCTGGTGAGAACCAAGCTGGGCCAGGGGCTGGGTGTCGGGGGGCGGGGCACTGGACCGGGGTCACAAACTCTGCTCTGCAGCCACCCGCAGAGCAGGTGGACGATCTGTGGCCAGGGAGCCCTCTCCACAGTCACACTACAACATGGGACAGCTCTGGGCCTGGGGCCCTGGCCCCAGCTTCTTCCTTTCCCCTTTCCAGAATCAGACTCCATTCGGGTGGAGATTGGGACTCTGAATTTTCATGTTCAGACTGAGACCTCCACATGTATCCCCCAGGAAGGGTTCTACCTCCAGAAACAGTGACCCAGGCCTAGTGGTGACCACCCTACTGGTGATCACCCTACTGGTGACTCTTCCTCCAGCTCCCACAGCCTTGTCCCCAGGAGACTGTCAAAAGCAGGCCCTGTCCCCTCACAATGCTCAGTGACAACCAAGCCCTCTGCAGCCACCTCACCTCTGTCTCCTGCAGTGCTTAACAGCCACTTTTTAGGGCCAAGTGGGCTCCTGGCTTCTCCTCCTGAACCTCTCAGGACTGGAGGCTGCCTTCCTATTGGGGCCTGGTTGAAAACTTGGGCCTGGACCTGTTGCAGAGGTCTGGCAGCTGGACCTGGCACTGGTGGTGACCAGAGAAAGTGCTCATTAACAGTCCTGTTTGATTGATGGTACTGGGCTTGCCCACAAGTGGGGCAGAGGCTCCGAGAGCAGGAGGGACTTGTGGACTCAGCTTCCTGCTGTCCCATGCTGCAGCCTAAAGGTGGCCCAGTAACCTGCACTGGGGTGGGATGTTGCTGGGCTGGACCTCATGCTGTCCCTGCCCCCCAGATCTGGAATGACTACAAGCTGAAATGGAATCCCTCTGACTACGGGGGAGTGGAGTTCATGCGCGTGCCCACCGAGAAGATCTGGAAGCCAGACATTGTGCTGTATAACAAGTAAGGGGCCAGTACCCACCCCTTCCTGGAGAGTGGGACTCATGTGCTCATTGTGCAGGTGTTTACTGAGCATCTAGTGTACACCGGGGCCTGGAGATGCCCCTGAGCCACAGAGCGTGGCACGAGCAGAGTGGCTCCAGAGGGCATGATGTATAGGGCGCCACAGAAATGACAGAGAAATGGGATCTGGAGTGCAGAGCTGGAATCAGGCAGGGACAGCCAGGGTGACCTCACTGGCTGCACTGTGGGACACCGGGAGGTATGTCAGGGTGGGGGGTGCATGGGGGGACTCCAATGTGGCGCCTGTCACTCGCTCTGTACAGACAGGACAGGCGAGTGGCTTCTTCTGCCACTTAGGACAGAAGGTGAGGTGGGGGAAGGGCAGAGGTTGGGTTCTTGTTCTTGGAACCTCTGTTTCCAGCCCATGGACCAGCAATATGGACCTGCATTTGGAATTCCTTCTTTGTGCTTTTCACTATCTTTTCTAAAGTTAATATACATTATTTTATGTCATACTCACATATATGTGTATATAAAGCTGAAGCTGGAACGGAACTCTTTAAAAATATAGGTGCCTGCATTTAAAATACTTTATTCTTTATTCTTCATTGTATTTTTTTTTCCAGTTCTGGGGATTGAACCCAGGGCCTTCAAACATAGCTCCATCCCGCCTTTTTTTCTTATTTCGAGACAGGGTCTTGCTAAATTGCTAAGTTGCCCACGCTGGGCTTGAACCTGCAAACCTCCTGCCTCAGCCTCCCAGACTGCTGGGATTATGGGTGTGTGCCACCACACCCAGCTCTTCCCTGTCTTTTTAAAAGTTAATATATATTATTTTATGTCATAATCATATATATGTATAATTATATTACCAAAAATGTCTCTATAGCTGCCCCACATACACTGAACTGGTGGGCGTGAGGTAGCTTGGCAATGTGTCTTCACCAATGTTCCAGGGGCTGTACGGATGGCCTGCCTTGGGGGTCCCTGCCCAGCCCAGTCCCCACACAGGTTAGGCCAGGCCCATGGTAGAAGACGACCTCACTCTGGGCGGGCAGGTGGCAGAGCCAGGCCTGGAGATGGACCTCAGCTAAGTGTTTGCTTGGCATGCATGAGGCCCTGGGTTTGGTTCCCAGCACCAAAAAAAAAAAACAAGTAACAAAATCCACTTTTCAGCAAAATGCTTCATAGAGAATTAGTCTAATCTAACTTTAATGAATAACAGCATCTTGTGTTTAGGTTTTATGCCATATCAGTGTCATGAGTGTTTTACTAGTAGTATTAATGCTGTTGGATTTTCAGTTAGTATTGAGAAGCTGTGATTTTTCCTAAATCCCACCTTTTGCTCCCCAGAAAAACCAAAATGGGATCTTTGATCACTCCAAAGACATCTGTGTTTTGTGCACTTTTTCCCCAAGGAAACACAGAATTTAGAAACATTTCTTCTGTGTGGTTTGTATTTGTAACCAGGACACAAGGTGCACTCAGCCAGGTTGCAGAATTTTCCTTTTCACTCTGAGCTGAGTAGAAATCTCATGGTCCAGAGACTCTGAGGGAACTGGGTGGAGGGGTAGATAGTTTCCCATAAGTTAGAATTTAGAAAACAAGCAAATTCTTTAATCTTGTAGTTTGGGTTTTGTAGCTGTTTTATTCCCTGCAGTCTTGGGGGAACGTCTGAACAGTGTAGGACTTTAACAATAATGAGAGACACAGCCAAACACTTCAGATTGGATATGAAGTGGAGCAGATAGCACAAGGAATTTCTCTGGAATCGAAAGCTGAAAATAACACAGAGAAATAACACTGAGAAAGCCTAATGCTTCCATGTAGAATGCAGCCTCCTCAGGATTAGCCCTCTTCTTTCTAACAGTAGAGACACCTTCTCTCTTACATCTAGTTTTCTTCTATGACATTGTGTTTTCTGAAGTTCATCCTCAGAGTGTTCATGGACACACATTATACCCTAGGTTCTAGCAAACTTATAACTCATCATGGCTTTTTAATTTAATTTTTATCTTTTTAATTTTATTGATTGATTGAAGACAGGGAAAGTCTTGCTATGTAGATCAGGCGGGCCTCGAACTCACTATAGTAGCCCAGGCTGGCCTCAAACTTCTGATGATCCTCTTGCCTTAGCTTCCCTAGTACTGGGATTACAGGCGTGTACCACCATCCCCAGCTTTATTGTGGCCTTTTTAGAGAATATTTTAAGCTGCTTGGCTGAGTATAAAATCCTTACTCCTATTTTCCTCCAGTGAAAATCTTATAAACTCAACCACATTGTCTTTTAGCATGAAGTGTTGCTATCAATAGCTGATGCCAATCTACATTTTCTTTTTGTTGTTAAACAGAGTGACTTTTGATAGTTAACAGGGTTACCATTAACAAGCATGTCAGGATCCCAAATGTAAGCCAGGACTGTCCTGGACAAACTGGGATATGTAGTCATTTTATTGTTCTTTTGGTTGGCTACTCAAAGCACTTTTTTCTTTGTCTTTACATATATTTATTTGGGTTTTTTTGCTTATCTATTTATGTATTTTTGAGATGAGATCTCACTATGTTGCTCAGGCTGGAATTGAACTTGTGAGTTTAAGCAATCCTCCCACCCCAGCCTCCGGAGTAACTGAGACTACAGGTGTGTGCCCCCACTTCTTTGTCTTTTTTAAAAAAAATAAAAAAACTTTATTGAACTAAAAATTTGCATACCACACAATTTACAACTTGAATTGTAAGGCTCAGTAGATTTTAGCACCTTGATAGAATTGTTCAGAGTTGTATGCCATTGTATAACTATAACTACAGTCAAACAGTTCATCTTTTTAATCTCGGGTCAAAGCACTCACTGTCTACTATCTCCCAATCCCTCCCCGCTGAGTCTCAGGAACCACTGAGCTGCTTTCTGTCTTCATAGATTTTTCTATTCTGGGAATTTAATTTTTTTTCAAAATAGACCATACTCATAGCAACAATAAAGACCTTAATATATCCAAAGAAATGTAAATCCTGCAAAGTGAGCCCTCATATTAGTGAAACCAGAGACCTACAACAGAAACTTACTTAGAATTTTTTTCTTTTTTTTCTTTTTCTTTTTGGAATACTTTTTTTCCCTTTCTCTTTCTCCTTTTTCCTACTAAATTTTTCATTTAAGGGAAACCATATGATGTTCAAGTTTGTGTCTGACTTCCCTTCACATTATTGTCTCAAGGTGCATCCTTTTTTTTTTTTGGTGCATCCATTTTTAACTGCAGTGTAGGACACATTGTGTGTAGGTACCATATTTTCTTTATCCATTCATCTGTTGCTGGGCACATAGGCTGATTCCAATATTTAACTATTATGAATTGTGCTGCTATAAACATAGGTACACATATATCACTATGGTGTGTTTTTAACTCTTTTGGGAAGATACCCAAAAGGGAAATATATGGGTCAAATGGAATTTCCATATTTAGTTTTTTGAAGAATCTCCTTATTGATTTCCATAGTGCTTGTGTCAGTTTACACTCCCACCAACAACTTTCCACAGCCTTGCCAGAATTTGTTATTGGTTGATTTCTTGATGGTAGCCATTCTCTCTGGGGTGAAATGGAATCTTCATGTTGTTGTAAATTGCATTACTTCAGTGGCTATTGATGTTGAACATTTTTCATGTGTTTAGTGGCCAATTGTATTTCTTCATCAGAAAAGTGCCTATTCAATTCAAATGCCCATTTAAAAAAATTGGGTCTTTAAATGTGAGGGGGGGTGTCTAACTTTTTGAGTTCTTTATACAGTATATTCTAGATGTTAGTCCTTTGTCTGAGGAATAGCTGGCAAAAAACTTTTCCCATTCTGTAGGATGTCTCTTCACTTTGTTGATGGTTTCCCTTCATGTGCAAAAGCTATTTAATTTAATGTGTCCCCATTTGTTGATTCTCAGTATCATTTCTTGTGCAACCAGTGCTTTACTTAGAAACCCTTTGCCTACACTTTTGTCTTTGAGAATTTTGCCTATTTTGTCTTCCACCAGATTGTTTCTGTTCTAATATTGAGATCTTAGATCTGTTTTGATATTAGTTTAGTGAATCGTGGGAGATATGGGTCTAAATTCAATCTTTAGCATGTGGATAGCCAGTTTTCTTAGCACCATTTATTAAAGGGCTATCTTTCCTCCAGCGAAGGGTTTGGCCCTTTTGTCAAAGATCACGGAACTGAATGTGCCTGGAGTTGTGTGTGTATCTTCTATTCTGTTCCATTGATCCACAAATCTTTTTTTTTTTTTTTTTTTTGCCTATACCGTGCTGTTTTTATGACTGTAGCTTTATAGTAATACTTGAAGTCTGGAATTGTGATGCTCTCTTCTTGCCCAGAGTTGCTTTTGCTATTCTAGGTCTCTCCTGGTTCCATATGAATTTTAGGATTTCTTTCTCCAGTTCTGTAAGAAATGTTATTGGTATTTTGACTGGGATTGCATTAAAGCTATATAACAGTTTTGGGAGTATATCCATTTTAGCTATATTGGTTCTGCCTATTCAAGAGCAAGGGATATCTTTCCATTTTCTGATACCTTATTTAATCTCCTTTTTCAGAGTACTATAGTTTTCATTGTAAAGGTCTTTTCTTCCTTGGTTAGGTTAATTCCTAAGTATTTTATTTTTCTTGGTGCTATTATGAACGATATTGTTTCCCTAATTTCCCTCTCAGTGAGCTCCTTATTGGTATACAAGAATGCTATTGATTTTTCTTTTTTTTTTTTTTTGGGTACCAGAGATCAAACTTGGGACCTTGAACTTGCGAGGCAGGTGGTGGAACCACTGAGCTAAATCCCCAGCCCCTAGAATACTATTGATTTTTTGATGTTAACTTTATATCCTGGTACACTCCTGAATTGGGTTATTAGTTCTAGGAGTTTTAGTGGAATTTTTAGGGTCTTCTCTGTAGAGGATTGTGTTGTCTTTGAATAATGATAATTTAACTTCTTCTTTCCCTATCAACATCCCCTTTATTTCTTGTCTAAT